GAAACACTCCTTTAGCCAACTCTTTTATATATCTGATTGTCTATACATGAAAGGAAGCAATTCTACTTGACTGCAATTTTATCTGAACGATTCTCATACCGAAACCAATCTTACTTCTTATTTTTAGAATTTCCATCAGGTTTCTTTTTTCTTTCTTTTTTGGGTCCAAATTATTACTTTTTGTGTTCATAAATACTAAAAGGCACAAACGTGTGTGTCACTTCATTTGAACATAGTGACATAATGAGAAGGATATTATTCTTGTTGGTTTTTGTTTTAATTGATTTGAACTATTGCGGTCCATACAGTGTCAAAAATTTTGAGGCCATGGATTCCATCTTAGGTTCGTACTTGTAAGTGCATGTCACTTTGCTAGGATCCTTTTCTACAAATAAAATTCGAAGTAAAACAAGCCTTACAAAGGGCTCACAGGACTTGATCTTCTCCTTCAAATAAAATTCAAGGTATAAGTAGCCTTATAAAGGGTTCTCAGGACTTGGATGTTAATTGATCCTCAAGTGAAACATACTTGGTATAAGTATTATACTTGCATGGTGGTATCCGAACTTAATTATGACAAGAACTGGTAATTGAAATGTAGTGTGGTTGCCGTCATGATAATGTTTCACTCTTTAAGATATATGCTTAATGGGAACATCATTGAGTTACACAGCCTGCTTTTCTGAATAAGAAGTTTGTGATTTATGCTAATCATGAACCATTCATCTGCTGACTTGATAGTGCTTCTAGATTGCTATCTATATCTTATTTATTAATTATTAGAATTTGAAATGAAATTTTAAAGAAGTTTTTTCATTATATTTCTCCATGTTATTTTCCCATTTCCCATACTTGGTTAACAGTGAATCATCAAAATCATGCATGTTCCATTTTCTAGATCCTGGTTTCACAATAACTGAGTTCATTGTCGGTTATTATCAGACCAGCATCTGATTTAATGCTTACTTTTGTTCTGTTACTATTGAAAGTTTTTAATATGGGTAATGCAAAACTTCTAATAAATGCTCACGTAACATCTTTTGGTTACCTTTTCTTTTTGGTCTCAACTAGTTCTTACCTTCTGTTTCACACTGCGTGGCATCTGTTCAGTTAACCACACCATCATAAATTGTCATTATGTACTTGGAAAAGTTCCTGGATTCTTTTGTAACCAAGTGTTAGTCCCGACTTCTACCCTGAACTCTCTGAACATTTACTTGGGATGGATTGACATTGTCTGTGCAATCACGGTATTCCTACTTGGTCGTACCAAATTATTTCCCTCCCTTGAAATCGTGCTTTGTTCTTGTTGCTTTTTAAGGAGCCTTTCTTCTCCCAAATCACTGGTTGTGATGCTTTCTTTTTGTCCTTTGTCATCTGTATAGAGCTTAAAGATCTTAACTGATTTTCTGTCTTTAGGACATTGAATGGTACTACAAAATGAGTCATCCACAAATCATCATGTCCAAGCCCTGGTAATATTGTATGTGATAAGATTTGAAGAACAAAATCCGATAAAAATATGTGCAGGACTTTGAGTGAATTTGGAGCTTTATTAGATATCGATCTATGGGTATTTGTATCTCAATCCTCTCCCAAATGATGACATTGGAAATTACTTATTGTCTATTTTGCAATAAACTTATTTTGAATTTCTCTCATTATCCTAATGCTTTTGGCAAATAATTTATTATGTTTTAGCAATTTGGAACTCATTTTACTCCAGCTTGCATTTTTCTCCGCCTGAAAACTTCATTAAACTTGTATGCTTAGGTTTTCTGTATGTGAAATAACTATGGAAAATAGCAACCAACCATGTTTCTTCTGAACTCATTTAGGCTGGAGTTCAGATACTCAATAACTCTTACTCATATATTTTCTTTATAAAAAAAATCCAGTATCTCCGTTTCTCCGTAAGATCTCTAAAGGCGTATAGGTGTGTGTCCAACAAGTCGAACCACCATGGGTACAAAAGCACCTCTTTGTGCTGTGAACTTTTGAACTTTTTTAGGATTTCACAGTTTTAGTACGTAACTTGTTATATTTACGCACATTCATAGCTGTTATCGGGCAGTCTTATCTGTAGTACTGATAATAATGCTTCTCTTGTTCTTTCATATAATTTGAAACATGATTGCTTCACTTCTCTGATATATATTACTGTACTGAAATTTTGGTTGGAGCATGTTCTTTAATCTTTGAACTGTTTGTCAGTGAATGAACGTGTTTAATCTGATTTTCTGAACAGAATGGTCCCCCTACCCCAGCTTCTCTATTCCTTGGTATGATTTTGATATCGCTGGCATGAGGAACCTCAATGGTTCAGAAGCCCTTGGTTTCGGTTTCAGTCGACAAGTTGATAACCTCCTTGAGAAATTTTTGCATGAGCACTTTTTACACAACTCATAACTGCCAAATATTAGAAGGTTAAATGGTAGTTTTTGGTCTTGACATTACACTTATTTAGATTGAGAGATTCTAGATTTCAATGAAAAATGTAAATTGTTTATCTGATGCAGCGATTTCTTAAGTTCTGTACAATTAAATGTCTCCCTTTTATTCTTTGGCAGGTCTGCAAGTGATTTGAATCTGGAAACCATTAATGAATATAGAAAACATCCTTATATGTTAATTATTAGAGTTTGTCCATTTATGAAATTCGCCTACAATAATCCATAGGTAAAGGGTTCGAGCTCAGAATTCTTTGTAGATTAAGGAAATTATGTGCATTATTTTGTTTGCAAAGGTCTGTAAATCTTTTGCGTCTCTGAATTGAAATGCTGTATGCTTCCCATGTGAATTTGCTGCACTTACTCTTGGTTTAGTCCCAATAAAAAATGAATGCTATTCAATGGTTTATCAATCAACAGATCTCTTACTCCTCCCTGGCAATGTTACTGCATAGATAAATTGCTCGGTTAGACCCTCGACGTCCATCGAGCTGGGGAATCAATGTGGTTTTCAGAATCGGGGCTTGCTGGACGGGAAACTATCGGTAAGAAAAAGTATTTTGGTTCAGAAAATTTCAGCTATATTGAGTTCAGTACACTCTGGTTTTGTCACATTTGATATTAGCCACACACACTTCTTTGTTGTGCATAGTTTTGATTATTGCCCCTTGTCCCGTAACAGTGACATCTCAGCCAACACAATATATGGTCGATTTCTCTTTGTTATCAACGACAAAATTGTTTAGGCCACATCTCATTCATCACTGAACTTGCACATCTTAAACACCTTGCATTATCTACCGTGAGTCCGAGCACTGACTGTCTCATTCGCATTCGGAAACTAGTACACTATAGCCGATGCTTTTATACCGATGCATGTAGGAGAGAAAAACCAAAATTTACAGTTTCACCCTACATTCAATGGTCTATGTAACAGCTGATATTGTCCTCTTTGAACTTTTCCTTCTGAGGTTTTCCTCAAATTTTTGAAAATGTGTCCGCTAGGGAGAAGTACGAGGAATACTTCGTTCCCCTCTTCAACTAATGTGGGTTCTTACTCTTTGGTGGTAGTAGCATATTAACTAGTTTCGGGTTTTTCTCATCAGATATATTTGCGCTTGGTCTTCTAGGTTTAGAGGACTAGAATTAGACTCTTAGACTACTATATTTGGGCCCTAAGGTTCACGATATGCTTTTTGAGATTTTTTCTTTCGAGATCCTTGTCAAATTAGCCTTTTGTTTTGTGTGGAATTTTTAGGAAATTAAACGAATACTTTCGGTTATTTATTAGACTAGGGCCCATATGATAGCACATGATGATGATGATTATTATTATTATAGGGTCACATAAGAAAAGGAAATTATTGGCAATGGACTATAGTAAGCTAATAATTTCCCTGTCCTGATTCAAGAAATAGAGTCGTTTTAAAGCGTTAGTTGAAGTGCATAAGGCTACTTTTATAAACTAAGGTTATTTTTGTAATATTAAGTCTAATTTTGTTATTTTCATGAGATTAAAATAAAACTAAGTAAATTATACTTTTATTTAGATTTATATAAGCTCTATGTTCGAATCTTTATAAAATAACATTTATCGAATTTCTTTAATTAAGTCATACACTAATCTTTTAATCCAGGTGTAAAGTTGAATTATTTCTCATTATTCTTTAAATACCCACAAAAGAAAAAGGAAATTTTTATTCCAATAAAATAGGAGAGGATTTGGCAGCAAAGGGAGATTTCTCCCACACCGACAACTTTAATTTGGACAAATACACCTCGACTCATCTTTTATTACCATTCATATTATTTAAAAATTGTTCACAAAAAATTTAATTTATTTTTTTAATTCGTAAAAATTTTGAATCTCTGATTTTTTTAATTGAGAATCACGTGCTTAATTTTGAATTTTCAAATAAAAAATGGATAAGATATTGAGAATAAATGGTCAATTTTAGGGAAAAAAATATTACCATTATTAATAAATAGAAAAAATAGTTAATTTTCTTAGATAAACAGACTCTCTACCATCATGGTATGATTTTGTTCACTTTCAGTGTAAGCGGTTCATTTTGAGCATAAGCCCTCGAGACTTTGATTTGTGCATCTCCAAAAGATCTCAAACCTCTCATGACTTTGCTTTGGGCTTTCTAAAAAAATCTCAAATCTCTCATGGCTTTGCTTTGGGCTTCCCCAAAAGACTTCAAACCTCTCATGGCTTCCCAAAAGACCTCAAACCAACGGAAAGCTTTCATGGCTTTGCTTTAGACTCCCCAAAAAGCCTCAAACAAATGGAGAGAGTATTATTTCCTTATAAACCCCATTGATCCTTCCAATGGAGAGAGTATTCTTTCCTTATAAACCCCTCTTGATCCTCTCTAATGGGATGTGTAATTCATAATGTACACCGAATGGTAAAATAAATTGCTACAATTTTTTTTTTTTTTTTTTTTGGGTAAAATAAATATTTCAAGTTAATAACGTCAAAGAGAATCAAAGTAAAGTTTGCTTCCTTGGATTGACCGAGTTGAGGGTCGGCGCGTATTATGATTTTGAGAATGAAGAACAGTATTAGGTACTTCAAATTTACAGCTTTTGGATGGCAAATCCAATCATTCTCTCCCACTTCCCATTGCTTTTAATTGATCTTTAAATTTTCTTCATCGGAGCAAACGGCGCCTTTTGAGTGGTAGGTGTTGGTAGCTGAAGATTTCCTCCGATCGTAAGATCAGATCCTTCCTCCCAAATTCGATTGAAGACGAATTCGAAGAAGAAGTTCGTGTAGATGTCCCCGTCAAATAGTTCGTCAAGTGGAGTTAGTGGACATGGTGGACCGAATTACATAGAACATCAAATTTCCAAAATGGATACTCTCGCCGGCATCGCCATTAAGTATGGAGTCGAGGTACCTTTCATTTTCCTTTTCCTTCTTCAATTTTTGCCTATTCTTCTGTCGGTTTAGCTTTATGTTCTCTTTTGTTGTGTTTTTTCCTCAAGTTTTGGCGATTCTTTCTCTTGTCATACCGTATCAATTAACGGTTGACTTGATTCGATTTTCGAGGTCTGGTAAATCATTGCTCTAAGTTCCTTTTTATCGCTGAAAGTATTTCAAAATCTTTGAATTTAGATTCTGATTCAACGGTGATTTCAGCACTCTCTTATTGCAGAAATCTTCATCAATTATCGAAAACTATTCCGATTTAGGCATATGTATATTGTGAAAACAATAGTTCAGTTGTGAGGATTCAATTGAATCAGTGTGTTTAACTTCGTTTGGAAACACAGTAAGGCTAACGTTAGGGCGAAATATTCGCGAGTTTCTGTATTTCCAATTCCATGAGCATTGTTTCTCTACTCGACGTAATTTAACAATGATCTGATGCTCCAAATAGATTTCTTCAGCTCTGAACTTTGTCGGTTCAGAGGTGACTTCGATCGGTTGCATTTGGCTCTTTCAGTTGATCAAGCCAAACAATAGAAAGTTCGTATTAGATTTCATTTGCTCAGATTCTTGTTAATTAAGATACCAGGGTGTCAGGATGAATAAATAGATTCGTTTTTCTTTTTCAAATTCCATCTTGCTTGCTGAATTTGCAATCATATTCTTTGAAATTGGTAATGTGTCTTTACTCTTTAGTATATAAAATTCCAGTGATGTTATTAGCAAGCTTATGCCTACTGAGAAGTTTGTGTGACCAATCAATATCCATAGTGTTGATCTTAGGCTCATCAATCTATCTGGGATCTTAGGTTATTCGCAACCTCATCAATCCATAAGTGTATATTATTTATAGCTTATTCAATTGTTAGGATAGTAAAGCTGAAAATGGTCATACACCGTGAACAACTATTTACAAAAAGAAAAAAAAAATTGGTAGAGATTGTATATGGTAGATAGTTATATATAGTAGGTGGTTATATGTGATAAACGTATATGTGTGTATATATATATATAGTAAATTGAGACCATGCTTTCAAAACTTATTTATGCATTCTTTGTTTTCTTCCTACTAAATTCTACTACCGTACATTCTTGAAGTTATCAATATAAACCTTTAATCAATATTTTTCTCCTGTATTTTCTCTCTTCTGTTCTTTGTGTTCATTTAGATTGAGTGTGTACGTTGTTGTGTGATCCTAATTGTTTTTCCCATCGTGATGCTCTTAATTTCATTTCTCACTAGGTGGCTGACATCAGGAGGTTGAATGGCTTGGCAGCAGATCTTCAAATGTTTGCTTTGAAGAAATTGAGAATTCCTCTACCAGGAAGACATCCACCATCACCCAGCTTGTCTGATGCTTCTACTGTTACAGGGTATTCCTTGCTGTGAATTTCTAGATGAGTTTATATCTTTCTATTATTAAGCTTTCTGTTTGCCTATATTTTCTGATCATACTTCATGTGTGTAAACCTGTCTTAGTCGAGTCGGTTGGCGGCTCTTAAAGTAAATTTAGCATATGCACATTGAGGCTGTGGTTAGGGGTGGGAAATGGGAATCCTAAGAATCTTATTGTAACATACTTTAAAAAACCAAGGAATTGCTTATGTGGTTAGCTAGTTTCAAGTTGTAGACATGTTTTATAGGATCATGGCGCTGTCTAACAACTTACGTCGTAGTGAACTAGTTTAGTATTTTTAAATTTGAATATTGTGAAGGCTAAGGTGGTTATAAATTATAACATTTGCATGAATTACCTTACATGCCTAGAGAACATAATATCGGTTTGAAGTATGCATTTCACCGTTTTCTTATTCTAATGATTGAAATTTGCATCATAAACATCTTATGCAGCATGTTATCTTGAGAATTGGTATAATTTCCAATTTCTTGGAGTTTCCAACTGACTTCCTTCCTTGATTTTGTTTGAAAAGTATCGTCCCGAAGTAGTAATATAGTTGAATATATGTCGAAAGTTTTGAAATTGTTCAACTTTGTACAGATATTATAATTTTAAAGATTTGATTCAGATGGTGTAATCTGTTCTCCTTGGACTGTGGATTGGATATTATCCAGAAAATTTACTGTTCAGGTTTGTCTAAATATAGATTTTGCAAAATGTATTGCAGAAGTGGATCTGTAAATGAAGAACCTCTACATCTAGGCCAACCAACTGATATGCTAAACTCTTCGCCATCTTCGAGATTGAAATCACCGAACCCGAAAGCCTCCCCTGCCATGAGTACATTACAAAAATATTATGGTCTAGTGTCACGAACAGTCGAGAATGCACCCGAAGGAATGGAGATGGCATTATACAGAACTGAGGATTCAAATTTCATTGATGATGGGTTGTTTCCCAAAACCTCTGAGCTTTCCACACCACCTTCAAACATTCACTCGAAGACCAGGAAATACGCCGGTAGTTTCTGGCCTGAGAACGAGTCAATAACCGAACATCTATTATGTACAGAACCTGGAGATGGAGAGAATGAAAAATCTGATGAAAAGCTGGTTCGCAGGCGTCAAAAGGCTGAAAATGGCGTTGGCACCCCAGAAAGATCGTCGAAGGGCGAAAATAGTAGTGGAGGCTTCTTTTCTGGTTCAAATGGGAAGAGTTTAGCCATGAGGCTGAAATCAGTTAGCAGATCAATGTTACTATCGGATTCGGATCCAGTTCGGATAAACTCGATTCCAGTAGGATTAGGAGATGCTATAATTACTGATGGCATTTCTGAAGTTCATAAATCATTAAGTACATCAAACCTGAGAGACCAAGATAGCAGCAGCAGCAGTTCAGCATCTGTGTGGGCAACAACAAGGTGGAGTTTAAAGCCGGACTTGCAAGCTCTCTCAAGTGCTTCAATCACAAAGCCACTCTTCGATGGTTTGCCAAATCCAATCACAGGGCGCAGGAACAAAGCAGCTCTTGATTAACCAAGGTCATATAAACTCTGTTCATATTCGCATTCATCGAACTGCTTCATTCTTTTGGTGTTGGCCCGAAAATTCTTTTGCAAGTGTTATTACAGGAATGTATAGGTAGGGATGCGAAATAAGAGAAAGATGGATTGTTCGAGGAAGTTAACACTGGTAAATACTACACCAACACATATATATTCTTTTTGTTGAAGATTGAGTCGTGTGGGGTAAGGGGTGATGCTTACTGTGAGGAGCGTATTTTCAACCTGACGCTATATCTTAAGATACGTACTTTATTTGTACTTAAAAGATATTTGTTGTCATCAACTACTATTATATTTCCACGAAAAAATTGCTAAGACTCATTGTTGAAGTTAGATTGTTTGTTGTCGTTAACTATTGAGTTTCCATGAAAATATAGCTAGAACTTATTAACTATTAAATTTCCATGAATATATATATATATTTTGTCAACTTCTCCCTACCCAAGGTTATATGTGAGCCGTTGTTATTTCTCTCTTGCTTGCTTAAATAACGTCTCTTTCAAATCAAAAATCTCTGTTTGCCCTCGTTTTCTTCTAAAACCTTTCTCTTAAAACCGAGGTCAGAGGTGTGAGCATACGTCGTAGACCAAGAACGAATTGGCTTAGCTCACTTGTCGCGTCTTTATTATTAAGTTTAGGGTTTAGAGTTCAGAATTCTGTTCGAGAATATAATCGTTATTGAAGTACAAATTGTTAATATAACTAAGACTCATTATTGAACTACTAGATTATTTGGGTCACCAACTATAAAATTTTCACGAAAATATAACTAAAACTCATAATTATTTGGTGTTATTAATTTCATTAAAATATAACTAGAACGGGTATATCTTGAACACTTATAAAATCAATATATATATATCTTGATTAGTTAAATTATTCGTAAGTACACTATTCAACCTCGTGGTTGAGTTCTAGAAGTATTAAGAAACCAAGAATTGGACTTGGTTGCATCAGCATGGCTATATGTTCGTGAATCCAACCATGTTTGAATCAAAGGAAGGAATCAATCAATCATGAATCTCTGAAAAGATCTCAAAACATTGAGGCATTGAATACTAAGGCTCAAGTTATAAGCAAAATTCCAGTTTAGTTTGTTTTCCCTAGCATATAACACTATTTCAAGAGTTGCACTCAGAGTTCGTTCTACTTCGCTATAGTAGTAGCTGTTCTAAATAGAGGAAGGGGAAAGGAACGAACAATCACCACCTGTTATTTGGTGGTTTAACTCTATAAATACGAACTATCCAATTAGATGTGGTGAACGCCTCTTCCAAGTGCTCCAGTTTGATGTCCTTGTTACCAATTTCAACTCCTCTGGCACGATCATACCTGCCATCCATCATCCATCATATAGACAACCCGAGTCAGGCAAGCCATTAACGAACGACACTAGTTACGTAACAACAACAAAGGAACAGAGTTTTAAAATTCTACATCGAAGAGAACCGATGGATACGTGTTTCATGACACGAACGAGTTACTATTGGTCCTAAGTCAACCTCTCTTACCGGTTCTAGTCCTACAGGTTTCCACTAAAGTGTCTTAAGTAGCCTTCGAAGAGTCCGTTTATTCTCTCTTCGTTTTCAAAGATATACCGACCGTAGGTATCTTAGATACGAAATGCAGTAGTTATTGCTAACCATATACATCTTTGGGGTGTATATGGATATTCATTCCTATCATCAGCAAGAACAAGCTTGTGATATGGACGTAGATGATATATTAATTAGCCTATATGTTCAGTCCTATCTGACTATGTCAATAACACGTGTTGCTTTCATCGAGAAAATATCGAGCTCATAAATTTTCTTTACGCTTAATGTCTATAGATTTTGAACTTACCCAGGAGGCTTGCCATATTCTGTTACTAGCTCGCCGAACCGATAATATGAAAGCTTGTACCTGGTGACCAAGTAAAAGGTGTAAGTATAACATAGAGCACTAAATCCACATTACCTCGTATAAGAAGATATGAAATGTAGCAATACAAACGCACGTAAATCGTATCCAACGCTAAGGAACTTACATAAGACAATTCAACATCTTGGGAGCTGCCCCTTTGTCGACTCGATATTCTCCATTTACCAGATAATCGGGTTCTTTGATTACAGGGAAAACACCACCTCCAATTCTCACCATCCACAAAAATCTAGCATGACGTGACGCACAATTTTCGTCAAATAAGATACTAAATAATATAACACATGATGCAATCTGAAAATATGTATTGAATAGGCAAGATAGTCATAGAGAGCGTTGATAGTGGAGTAGTCCATATGCCAATCATTTACTTTATTCAAAGAAACAAACTCTTACTTGTTAATATCATCAGATGAATAGCCAGTCACACCACCAAAGACAACTAGCACATAATCCACATCGAGTGATCTCATTATTTCGTAAGCCTCATCTTCATACGAAGACATTGCACGTCCAACAGTAGCGATGTGTGTGTTATTCCAGGTATTGTTGTCGACAATGACAGTTCTGTTTCCCATTGCTGTGATTTGGTACCCATAATCCCACCATGACATCACCTTAGCATCTTGAGGAGTATTCTGTCTGAGCCAAAAGTATGCCTCACGGTAGTCATCGAAGATAACCCTGTTACCATGGGCGCCCCGTGCAGACAAGACAATTGATGGAGATGAATAAGCTTCTGAGGTGACCCATGTACAATGGGTTGCATACCTTGAAAGCAAGTAAAAAGCACCAAAGAGCAGCGCAATAGCACCATTCCTTTGGAAAGGCTGGGATTGATCAAGAGATGCCTGTTGGTTGCATGGGAGGGGGAGAGAAGAATTAATCCAGCTCAAGAAAAAATATGATCCCTTTTCAAGCATATATAGAAACAATCATATAATTTGAAGTGCATAAACAACCAGAATGAAGAGAGTTCATCTTTTGACATATTAGTGCAACTCGAAATGATTCATTAAGACAAATGAAGATTAGATCGACGATGTTGAGCCGACATAAAAGGCAGATAAACAGAGCTAGACTTACCTTAGAGGAACTCTTCACATTGCTGGCTCCTTTGCTAGAACTAATCTGAGCAACCTTCGGTTTCGCCCTCGCTAACTGGGTCAAGTTCTTTATTGTAGCAGAGACAGCTATAGCACTGATAAGACATACTGCAGGCGTAGCAACAAGAATTAACCTGACCATAACTCCGGCAAAGTACATGCTAGTAAGACCATACATGACGATGAAAATTGTTGCATCAGACAAGCGCTTGAAGCAAAAATAGAGACCAGCTGGGAAAAGGAAAAGCAAAATGTGGAAGTCAAACATGAAAGATGACCAAGCTGTGGGTTGATGCTCAGAAACAGATGCTATTATAGGTATGTGATCTTTCGCATATGTTGGATCCAAAAGAGAATAGAACCGGCCAGCCCATGGGGATATATACCCCGACGCAGTGCCAACTCCCAATGCAACGGTACCCACCGCAACTGCACTGGTCACGGTGATCTTCAAGAAGGATTGGAACAATTTAGTATCGCTCAGCATGTACTTCACCCAGTCCAAGAAGTAAAAGACCTGTAATGGAGGCCGATTAGTTCAATGAATAAAATAGAATACATAAAGCTTTTTCTCTTCACTTCCCAGTTCCCACCACACCACGGTAGCTACAGACCATGAAATATTATTTCATGTGGGCAAAAAATGTACAGTATACAAGCTAAAGCAAACAGCCCAAGCCCAAGCCCACCACTAGTAGATACTATCCTTTTCGGGCTTTTCCTCGAGGTTTTTAAAACACGTCTACTAGGGAGAGGTTTTCACACCCTTATAAAGAATGTTTCGTTCCCCGCTCCAACTTACGTGGGATCTCACAATTCACCCACTTGGGGGCCCAGCGTCCTCGTTGGTATACCGCTTGGTGTCTGACTCTTTGATACCATTTTTAACCGGCTAAAGCGGACAATATCTGTTAGGGAGGGCTTGAGAAACTAAAGTTTTTTTTTTTTTTCATCTGTGGTAACTGAATAATAAACTACAGAGATACAACACCCTTTTACATATGTGATTTTATGCCCCATCTCAACCCATTTGCAGATTTTACGTGCCCCCAATGCCATAATTCTAGACAGCGCAAGGACTTTTACGTATAAAGCTCTCCACCCAAGAACATTATTACCAAGTGGCAAGCCCCCAATCAATGGGGACACTCATAGGGTAAAAACATAAATACTTTACATTGGAACGTTTCTTTTCCCACCATTGGAATCAATGTAATGACATGACAAGTAAAATTTTGCCTTCTCCCAAGATTATGCCACACTTCATCATATGACGAACAGAATCAACAAAAGAGAATAACAAAATCAACAAAAGAGATAATATAGAATTACAACCTGAATCAAAAAGAAGACGCCCATCGCAGCCATATGCTCCCCAGACTGAACATGCTGAAAACCAACAAAACGAATCTGCATGGCAAGCAACATTCCCAAGATGTACATACAATTATACGCCACATATAATCGCATTGAGTATCTGCCCGTTATCAGAAGAACCAGCACATAAAGTGGAATCAAGTTAATTATAAACACATAGCCACCCCACGCTGAAACCATGTAAAAGTACCCAAAAGCCGAGGCTAGAGCCCAAGCAACAGATCCAGTATTTACCGCCTTCACGAATAGATAGAAAGTCAATAACAACGCAAAAATGGCGACACCTTCATTATCGTACGATCCCGCAACAGATCTCGAAATGTAGCCTGGACAAATTGCAATCAGAGCGGCTGCAACAAGTCCAGCACCCGAGTCCCAGATTTCTTTACCGAAAAAGTACGCAACCAATGTAGTATTTGACGCGAAAAATGGAGCCGTCAATACACAGACCTCACGGATATGCACGGCGAACTTCAGAAACCGTAGCCCCCAATAGATAATGGCGGCCGTGACCATAAGTCCAGGATAGAGCGTACCTCCAATGATTCGACCGAGAGGATACCAACTCTCAGAATCAAACCAATTCCAGAATTCGTAAAAGCCCTTCTGCGTGAGGAAGAGCGTAGTTCGGTAATTGAAGTAGGGATCAAACTCATGGATCATCGACTCATATCGCAGAACACTGAAAAGCCTAGTAATGAAGGCCAAAACATAAACGAGACAAAGGATCGAGACGCGGATCAGAAGCTCTTGTTGCTTGGTCTTGAGCTTGAACGATTTGAAAGACAAAATGTTGAACAGATCAGATTTAGCATTCGGCGCCATGGTTGCAGAGTTGGTCGGGTTATTCGATCCAGATTTAACAGAACCATTGACAGGATCGGTCTTCCCAACCATGATTGAAGAAATTAAAGGAAATGTAATAATTTAAAATCGCGATAAGGAAATTGAAATTCGGGTCAACGCTGCGAAATTGCCATGGAAGGGTTTGGAAATGGAGCAAAACCCTAAAATTAAACGAGAGGGAGGATGGAGAAGAAAAGGCAGAGGTGAATCTAGAGACTGATACTAAAAGCGCAGAAGAGAAGAACTACACTGAATCTGGTTTTGCTCCAGAGGAGGACGAGTTGGCGATACTATCACTGGGTTCTGAATTTACCTATTTGGGCTTCATATTGGGCTTTTGAGAATTTATGGGCTTCTTATTGGGCTTTTGAGAATTTATGGGCTTCTTATTGGGCTTGGAGAATGTCGAGGCTTCATATTGGGCTTGGGAATGTATGGGCTTCTTATTGGGCTTGGAGAATGTCTGGGCTTCATATTGGGCTTGGGCATTCAGATCTCTTTGCACCAATCCATTTTAAAAGGAGAAATTGGCTTTTAATTTTGGCCTAAGTCATTATCTTTCTCGATCTACCTCTTAATTACCTAATTACCTAATGTAAGACTATTCCTCTCATACCCTTTTAGTTCTTGAGTGGGTTATTACCTTACCTCGATTGGCCCAACGAAAGAACGCTGTGGGCTTCATTCAATGGACTGCTTTGTTGGTTCAGGGGGTCCGGTTTTTCGGTTTAGTATATAGGGCGGCACCCTTTGTTGTTGGTGTGAACAATTATCGTTCTTTTGAGTATTTATCAGATGTTTTTTTTTTAAATCATTTTTTAAATGAAAGCTTATCTAAAGGTAAACCTGACATATTTTTTTTCTAGCTTAGATTAAGATCGCAAGAACACCAAGAAACGACTCGAGCCAAAACTAATGAAAAGTAAGTTGTTGATAGTCTTTTGTATTTGTATCGATATATGGTCGAGATTCTTCGAAAGGAAAAAAGAATATTTTGTTGTGTTTTCTAAAAAATAGATAAACTATTGGGCCCTTTTATGAATCAATTAGTATATTCCTTCCAATAAGGAAAAGGATTCCTGAGATTGCCATACACGCAACGTGGGAAGAAACAAAACATAAACTTTTGTTCCTTCCAGGGAAAGAGACCGATTGATACGTCTTCTTTCTTGCTTTATTTTCTGATGAGTCAAAATAGGGTGGCTTCATCCAACCACCTAACTTATCAATTTACATGATATTTAAATACTTCACAATTAAAAAAAAAAAAACAACTTATAAATATTGGTAACGACATTAACCAAAAAAAATAAAAAAAGTGAAATTTGGTAAGTTGAAACGAACCAAAAAAGTGAAATTTTGTAAGTTTGATTCAATAAATTTGGTAACCGAAACAACATGAACCAAAAAAAAATGAAATTTAGTAAGTTTTAATCAATTTAGTGAATTTATAAGATCCTTAATTTGTCCCTAATAGTTGTACCATGTTGCGATGTTGGATCAAGTTTTTACCTTTTATCATTCAACATTACAAGAGAAAAAATGCACAACATTCGTAACTTGTTTTACGAGAGATAGTTAACCCGTCTAACCTCACGATATGGTGCACCTAGCAGCCTTCAAATTTGAAACGATATCACGAACGTACCAAGATTCTATTCATAGGCTTCATTTAAGTAAGATTTAAACACTATATAATATATAGTAAGGTTAACCATATAATATATATCACCCCAATGCAGCCTAATCCTGATAGCGAATGATGATGGCAGTAATAACAACTTGATATAAAACCGATAATTGAATCAAACATAAAGTATCTCCATGCGAGTTTTAAAATGAACCTCGGCAGTAAGAGGCTGAAACATTGAATGCCTCAAAAAATATCTTCATATGAAAAGTTGGGTGTACCTTATTGAAGATTTAACACCATTTTCTTTAGGTGGAAGCAGGTAACTCCAAATTTTGTGCAAAATGGAACGAACTACGAAACTCTGAAATCTGAGCTTTTGATTTAACTGACAAGGCCTCTCTGTTTGAAGACATCAAGCATTGCAACGCCAATTTTCGCAGGCGACTCGACCACTGTTACTCCAGCTTCTCGCAGTGTCTTGATTTTGTCTTGGGCGGTACCTTTTCCACCCGAAACAATGGCTGCAAAATCCGAAAGTCTCATTATCGATGCGATATATGCAGAAATGATGGACACACATATAAATATGTTTCTCTTTTTGGGGATGCAGGTAGAGGACCGATATCTTCTCATTGTTCACTAAGAATTAAAAGGGGTACACGATATATGTGAGATCCCACATCAGTTGAGGAGAGGAACGAAGCATTTCTTATAAGAGTGGAAACCTCTCATTGGCATACAAGTTTTAAAACCTTAAAGGGAAGCCCAAAAGGGAAAGTCCAAAGAGGACAATATCTGGCTTGGGCTGATACAAATGGTATTAGAGCCAGTCACTGGGCGGCGTGCCATCCGGGACGCTGAGCCTCCCTAAGGGTGTGGAAACCTCTCCCTAGTAGACGCGTTTTGAAAAACCTTGAGGGGGAGCGGTTCTAACTCAAAGGTGGAGGTTAGAAACTAATCAAACACTAATATAAAGGGAAATACTCAAAAAATTTACATACCACCAGCATGACCCATGCGACGGCCTGGGGGAGCAGTAAGGCCAGCAATGAAGCCAACGATAGGCTTCTCAGTCCCACTTTCCTGTTATAACACAATAAACTCTTCAGAACTTGAAATTACAGTGCAGTATTTCATAACACATGGGTCAACAAGTCTAATTCATTTGAATAATCCATTACAAAGACCACATTAGTTCTTCCAAGCGACAATGTTGAAATGGAAATTTAGTACATCAAAGAATATTTGAAGAAAAGACACAGACTTACACAAAATTTTTCGACAATATTGTTTACCAAGCTATATCTTGGTGTAAACTATCTAATATTTTTACTTCGTATAGTTATACCTCCCTCATTGCAAATTGGAAAGGTCTTTTGTAAACATCATGGATATTACATCCCTTTTGTAAATTTCGATCTATCAATGAAGTAATGGCAGCGATATATGAGAGAATCTTAGGAAGGCCATGCCAATATTATCTGTTTCAGAACTTCCTCCTAGGAGTCAATGGAAGTCTTTTTCTTGATGCAATTAACCAGTAGCACTAAAATGTGCAATAAATTATGAATATAACGGTTCAGAAAAGCATTATACAATAAAATATTTGAAGGGGAATGAATAAATCTAGAGCTAATCAATATAAGTAGCAATGAACTTCCAAAGTTCTTTGATGATGATGAGTTCAAATAGAATATGCTCAGATAGCTATACTTAAAGTAAAATAAAGTAGAAGGACAGAACCTTTATCAAAGCAGCAGCATCCTCTTCCGCAGTCCCACCAATTTCTCCAATTAGAACAATACCTGAATGCGCATGAGGCATCGTGTCAGACTCTAGAGATTACCATACCTTTCTTGTAATTAGTAATATTTACCATAAAAATTAGAACAAGCGGAGGAGAGAAATAATAACTAAACATGATTCACCAATCCAGCCAATTTGTTGTCATCCATTCATAATATTTTATATTGTTCAGTCAATTTGCAAACAGACCAATAAACCGAAACACGAATAACCTTCTGTCTGAGGATCAGCAAGGAACTTCTCGATGCAATCAACAAAGTTTGTCCCATTGAAGGGATCTCCTCCAATACCTACGCACGTGGATTGTCCAAGGCCAACAGCAGTAGTTTGGAAAACCTAAGCATCACATATTATGGGGCATTGAAAGCTTAAAAAAATAGTTAAAAATAAAAATAACGAAAAAACTCGCTCTACTTTCAAGATAGTAACACAGTAAAACTCACCGCTTCATAGGTCAAGGTGCCAGATCGTGATACAATGCCAATGCGCCCAGGTTTGTGGATGTACCCAGGCATAATTCCAATTTTACACTCTCCAGGCTTGATAATACCAGGGCAGTTAGGGCCAATCAACCTAGTTTTAGATTGTTTGTTTAAAGCAGCCTTAACTCTTACCTGAAATTCGTACATATTAGATTTGTTTACGTTTTGATTAGGAGGTTGAATGAACTAACTCAGACACGGTTTTAATCAGAACAAATAGTCAACACGTACATTATAGAACTGTTAAAACAATTTTAGCTTGGAGTACAAAATCTAAACAAGTAAACATTTCAATAGAACTACTTTCAATCACTACTGTAGCTAGTTATCTGGAACAGGGCACGTCCATTCAAGAAACAAAGCAGAGGGCATGATAGGTCTATGGCTTCAATTAGCTCTAAAATATGATAGTAAATATAGATTACTGTCATATGGTATAATGACTTTTTCTTTTCCATTCCAGCTAACAGAGGCGACGGTAGCCTCTTGTTTTGTCCCTTTTCGCTTATAATCCAATAACAAGCTACTCTTGTAGATTATTGTCGAATGCCTTTTGTATAAAAACGAAAGTAAATTTGAATTATCGTCATATGATATAGGTGACCCATCTTCTACCATCCCAGTTAACCAGCCATGATGTAGCTTCTTCTTTGGCTTATAATCCAAGTACAAAACTAGTTTTGTACATCGTTCGTTAATATGGTATCAACGAAATCTACTTTCTGGTCCTGGGGCCTCTTCTTTAACATCTTTTTGTGGATTGAGACACTAGTCGCTATCCTAAATGTTCATGCATTAGATTTATCCAAAACCTACCTTTAGTTTCACACTTTAAGACTTTCTTCAATTACCCGTTCCTTTTATTAGTAACATTCAGGGTTCTTTTTTCCTTCATCTTTTAATTTGCCTCTTTTATCTCACCCTCTGTTGGTTTGGCCATCCCACAAACTTTTCACACATCATAAGCTGCCATTCTCTAGATACAAACAATTAGTACTTTCACAAATAAAAAGGACAGACACTCTGTAATGAAATGTTCCAAATAGATTGCCAATTCTTCTGTATTGCAAAGCATATGAACGAATCCAGGCAGGCATATGTCAATTTTCACTTACCATATCATGCTGTGGGACCCCTTCCGTTATACAAACTACAAGATCTAGCTCAGCTTCCATCGCCTCCAAGATAGCTGCTGCAGCAAACGGCGGAGGGACATAAATTACTGATGCATTGGCCTTCGTTTCAGCTTTGGCTTCAGCGACTGTGTTAAAAACAGGAAGTCCCAAGTGTTCGGTTCCACCCTTCTTTGGCGTTACACCACCGACCTAATTCAACAAATAGCATGGCTTAA